TTGGCGACAAGCGCAAGGAAAAACTGCCTGTTAAAAGGCAGAAACCTAGGACAGATCCTCCGGCTCTAGGTGGGTGGTCGTCTGTCTCGACCAGTTGGGGTGTGAGAGAGAGAGAGGAGAGAGAGAGAGAGAGAGAGAGAGAGAGAGAGAGAGAGGCAGAGAGAGAGAGAGCGAGAGACAGACAGACAGGTGTACAGCAACAACAGTATTGGCAATGGCAATGTAGCAGGACCATGGCAGGAGGCTCCACCAGGATCGACAAGAATCACTAAACACCTCTATGTCTCAGTGCCTCAAACTAGATCCTGATCTGGACTCGGTTCCCCCAGGAGACAGCAGCCGGCACTATGAGAAGACCAGCTGGCACCACGAGCAGCCGCAGCAGCCTCAACAACGACGGACGCCACCAACAGAATCCATCCAGGATTCAGGCGCAAAGACACTATCAGATCAGGTCCACAATCACACAGGTCCACAAAACACACAGTGGACTTCGTAGATCAAAGGCTATGGGGGGGCATGATTTCCCATGCCATTCTACATTACGAGTCAAAACAGAAAATTGATTACTTAGAGATTTATGCTAAATACATGCACGAGGCATACGAAATAATGCCAGAACATACAATCAATGCAGCAAAAATGAAAATAAATAAACAACTGTCATGTAGTGAAGAAACTGAGAAAAACTTAAAGCATTAATTTCTACTGTATAAACTGTCTGATAAATCTGCTAGGGAGACACTAGATGTTTTTATTAGGCATTAATCTGATTTCCTTTCCACAGGGAATAGTTGTGCCGAGAGTTTTCAAAACAACCATGTTAGTTTTAGCGTATGCTTATCAGACCAGAACTCCCTTCACAGACACACACACACACACACACACACTCATCTCATGATGTCTCATTGGTCAAATCCAAGCATGACAGGTGGGAGAACTTGAGGTATTGGACCAGAAAATGCAATGAAGCTACTGGGTGGGGTAGACATCAGATCCTAATGTTGATTTTTACAAACAAACTGAAGGTATACCATAAAAGATTTTTGCTGTTGTGAACACGAAAGAGAACAGAAACAGTTGAGCTCATTCCAGACACAGAACTTCAAATAACAAATCTGGTAACAATTGATTATAAACTATGTCATGACAAACACATTTTTGTGAAAGATGTCTCTGAAATTCCTGAACTAAGTCAGGTACCATCATGCTTGTGGGCACAAGAAAGTATGATGTAGGTCTAATTAAAGGCACAGTGGCTGTTGTAATAACACCAAATAATCCTCATACAGGACTTGTCCAAATCAATATCCTTAAAAAAGGAAACAGTTGAAGGAATTTAATCTTAAAGTATTTCTGAATCTCTCCCAAAGGGTGGAGTGATTGTTCCATATATATATATATATATATATATATATATATATAGATCAAAAATGTTTCCCGTCAAAAAGATCAAAGATGCCAAAGGAGTGGATATTTGTTTAGGATTTGCAAGCAGCTGCAATCAACACATGTGCACCAAATGGTCTTAATCCACACACAATTTTTTCTAAAATTAAATATGAGAGTAAATGCTTTTTTTTGTTGTTGATTTGGTTAATGCATTTCTTCAGCATCCTAGGCGACCCTGACAGTCAGTAGTGGTCAGCAGTGGTCAGTAGTGGTTAGCATTCTCCTTTAAAGGAAAGATGTTAACAGTTTAACCATTTATGCAATCTTTAATGCAACATTAAAGAAATATTTTGAATCACTCAATCTAATATACCATACAGCTAGCTTACCTAAACTGGAGCTTGTCTCTGCAAAGGTCATCTTTCTGGGTCATGTGATCACAGCAGAGAGCAAAACCCTCTCACCCAAACAAATTGAAGCAATTCAGACCATTCTACGGCCTGCAACAAAGAAACAACTAATGAGTTTTTGGGGATGACATCCTACTGCAGACAGTGGATCCCAAATTGTGCTGAAACTGAGGCACCATTGGCATCAATGCATGATGGGAAAGGCCTCGCTGCAAAAGGCAAAGTCCAATGGACTCCAGAGGCTGAGAAAGCTTTGTTGACTTAAAGCTAGCTCTTCAGACTCCTCTGATGTCGGCCTACCAGGTTAGTTGACCTCAGTACTAATCCAGGACCATGGGGGACGACAAAGACAAAGAGAAAAGGCTGTGATAGCATTACGTGACATTGTTGGTTACACTGACCTGACTTTACTGGTTACACATGAAGTGTCAATGATTCTACTTGAACAAAAAAATGATCATTTTTCAACAGCAATGTAATAAGATACTATCACCAAAGTCAAAATATGAAATTGTTATTAACTCTGCTACTTTTCTCCAAACTCCAGGTGATGGACAGCTGCATGAACGTGTTGTAATCCAAACAAATTGCTATCTGAAAATGTAAAAAACACTCTAACAACCTTGATTCTATCTCACAGGGCAATGCTAGTGCTGACGTAGCTGCGAAGGCTGCAGCCGAACAATGTATTGCTTTGACTAACTCATCATTAACACCTACAGTTAATTTGCAGGAATTGCAGGCAACAGAGGAACTCCAGAGAAGAACGCTTTCATTCACTTACAAAGTGTGGCAAGTGCCATTTACCAAAATATCTATTTCCCTACTATCATAGGTTGACACATGGGAAGGACCAAATGTCAAAAGGGGGTATGGTGAGGGAAATACAGAAATATAGTTTCACAAAGGTTCTCTAATTTCTACCATAAATTTTGCCAAAGTTGTGTTATTTGTGTATGTCTAACAAACTGATTTCATTGACCTAACACCTGGTGGGGGAAAGAAACATTGTCTCATCATTGTTGATATGTTTTTAAGATGCAAAAGCAGTTGAAAAGGCGCTACATCAAAGAAAAAATGTAAAATCAAGGTATAATCTTTCATAAATTCAGCACTGAAAACTGCAGGCATGAGACAACATCGTGCCTAACAAAATAGTAAAGTATTTCTGATTCTGATCCTGATTGTGATTAGAAAACAAATTTGTAAAATGTTGCACAGGAACAGGTTTGATGTTGACAAAAAGCACTACTAATGCACACAAGGGCCAGAGTAAGGAACAGAAGTGGTCTCAGCCCATTTGAAATCCTATTTGGGAGACCACTAAATACTGGGATTGGTCTTGTTAAAAGTAAAAAACTCCCTGACACCGGTCAATGGGATGATGAAATGCTGTGTTATTGTGCAAACATGTCCCCTGTGCTTATATCCACAAGCAGCTGAAAGCAGCCATACCAAAGGCTGCTGAGAAAAACTATACGACCAACACCAGGCGACGCGATCGTGATGAAGTTACTCCTCACAATGGAAACAGCAGTGAAGGTCCCTGAGAGAGCAACATGGATCCATGGCAGCCACTGCAGACTCCCAGAACCGAGATCATCATCAAGCTTGCATCAAAATCAAGAAAGCCAAAGAATAGGGCAAAAAGGGAGGAGCTACCAGCATCCCTGTTAGTCCAACCAAACCTGAGACAGCGGGTCTGGGTAGACGGCTGTATCAAGCAAAGAAACCAATCCAACGAGTGAGGGGTGAAACAGCGCCCTCCTCCACCAGCAGCATGCCAAGCTCCAACAAAGTGACGTGCAGAGTGAAGCTCTGTGTCACCTACGAGGGATCAGCGATGGAACCCAGATCCCCAAGAACGTTTCAGATAACATGACTAATGATGTTTCTCACCATAATGACTTCCTGCATGAAGACGAGAGTAAGGACTGTAAGGCTCCTGAAGGATGGAGCATATGTGCCTGACTGACCACAGGCAAATTTTAGAATACACTGGTAAAAGTGTTGAGACCTTTGATTACTATCTTTGTAATGTTTAATACTTTGAGATGTTGTATAATCCCACAAAAATATTTTGTGAGCATAAAAAATGCTCAAAGGGAGGAATGTAATGGCAATTTTTAAGAACCTATACAACCCTTTGACCTGTTCATTGTAAAACCATATGCAACTATTAAAGAGGCTATTATATCCATATAACCTTTAGCCCTGTTTCTAACTACACTCTATGTCCAATTAACAGTGGGATGTTGAGACTTCACTAAGAAGCCAAGGACATGATCATCTCACCACACTATCTGTCTGTTTACTGTCCCACAACTCAGGAATGTGTAACTGTGTTGGAGTGACACTCCATCAGGGATAAAACTATACTGTTTCTTCGAATCAGGGCTCTTTCTGACTTTCACATATGAAAGTGTGGGATGGTTGCGTTGAGACCATTCATGGATGACTTGAATAAAACCTTACAGAAAGACAAGATCATACTTTGTATGCTTTATTAAACAAATTGCCACCACATTGAACACCACTGGTGTCTGTATTTGAGAGACTAAACTGGCAGTCTGCGAAATGCCCACACCGCCCTAGCTCTGATGCTAACCAGTGCTACTATAAACTAGACAGGGCCGGGGCAGCTAGAGCTGTTGTTCCTGCAGCACCACAGCAGCAGACAGCGGGACAGCCAGCTGACCAGGCACACTCTCAGACCCAGTCACTTTAGTCCCTCCCTGTTCCCTCTGTAGATAAGAATGACTCATTCTAAGGTAACACAAACACAACCATTCCTATAGTCAGGTGATTGTACACTAATGAAAACATACTCATGAATATTATATTCCATTTCTGCCAATAGATCCTCCTGAATGTCACACACTGGTCCTTTAATCTAACAGATAAATAAAGTGGTTCCAATAGGTATATTGTGTTGTTTGCCTTGGTTAAAATGTATGGTTATATATGGGAAATGTGTAAAAGATGGTCAATATAATACCACTACTATTACTACTAGCCTACTGCTATCACTACTACTACTACTACTAATCATGTTATTAATCACATTATTACTGTATATCATAATTGTATTATTGTTAATTAAAAGTAATGAATGTATTATTGTTGTTGTTGTTGTTGTTGTTGTTGTTGTAGCAGACGCAGTATCGTCACCAGCTGTTTGAGTTTTTCTGGTGACGTGGGAGGTTAAAGGTCCACAGACAGAGACACGGAGCTCTCACGGTGGACAGAGGAGCATGATGGGAACATAAACAGCTGGGTGTTGTTCTGGTGGAAGCTGTAACAACAACAATGCCGGCCGCAGCTACCTTTGTATAAAAACTGCTCCGCTTGTCGAACTATTGGACTGCGAACGGAGACAGGTAGCAGCCGGATGAAGGAGCGTCACAGGTGAAACGCTAGCATTAGCATGTGAGTTGGCTAGCTAACTCGTTACCTGTCAGAGTGATGTTAGCTAGCTCATGTTTGCTATTGTTAACCGCGAGGGAAAGAAGCGCCCCAAAAAGCGTCCAGTGTTAATTGTAGGCGTAACGTTAACACAAAATAATGAACCACTAAGTTCCATTTGCAGTCATGTTCACTCACTTGTTGGTTTGGATTCCCTCTGGCTAACTAGCATGCTAACGTGAGAAGTTACGCTAGCTCCCTCGAAGCATTTGATACCGGGACGTCTGTACCGTGTGGAACAAAACAAGTAACTCATACATCCAAACACCCGACGCCACTGAGACGGCTGTCGATGCTGTTTTAACCTCAAAATGTTTAACCGTTAGCTGTGTCGTGTATTTCCAAGATCACTAGACTTGGTGGAGGCTAGGCTAACGTTAGCTTGGGCCAAGTATTTTGAGTGAAGTTTAGAGTTAGTTAGTTAGTTAGATGGCTGGGTCAGTTGTTGGCAAACTGTGGTCAAAGGAAGTAGGGAATACTCGATTCTGCTTGATCAGCAGGAAGAAAGCACAATAAGATGAAGTATATCACAGGTTACTCAATCACCAACTTACCACTATAATTTCTGTATGTGCATTTACAAATCATCAATCATACAGTCAATTAAAACAATCATGTTCTGTGGAATAAACAGTATATGTTGTGATATAGTACATTTCTGCTAATTCAATTGATAAAGTGTTTTTATTAGAATATCTGTTTTTCACAGGATTGACATCTAAAAAAATCAAGGTACGTCTGGCTGTTTGTCCTGTAATATTCCTCACTGGGGTGAAAGGGTTAAATGAGACACAACATGCTGACTGTGCAGTCTGTGTTTCAGGATGGCAGGAGTGTTTGACATAGACTTGGAGACTGAGGACATCAGTGATCCAGAGGTCTGTACCACTCACTACAGTTTATTTGTGCTTCAGACACATTGTGATTATTACTCTGTAGTACACCTTCTGGCTCAAAAATTCACTATATATATTCACTAATTAGTGAATTTCTTCCCTTTAAAATTGGTATCGATCAGGCTCTAATGCATTGCCATGAACACTTCGGTTCTAAAATGTAGAACACATCTGTTTGTGTATTACAGGATATTTGGCTGCAACAATTAAAACAAACTGCTTTACTATTATGACTTTATTTAACCACGTTGGCTTGTTGTTCCCCATTTGTAGGATGATGTCTGTGACTTCACTGTGGCAGAACCAGATAAGTAAGTTTACCATTAAATCTTTTAAAAAGACTAGATGTGGGTATAGTATAAACATAAATACCAATACTGCTACCTCTGTGTGGTGCTCATCCCAGTGTTCAGACAGAGGAAGTGGAGTTGACCAGTGAAAGTGTCAACAGAGACAGTGAGAGAGTTGGACCTGACTGCTTTGAGCTTCTTACTGTGCTGGGAAAAGGAGCCTATGGCAAGGTGTGTGTACATGCTGGTATACACATGTATACATTACATTACATACATTTTCATTGTAAATGTAAAAGATTGTTGAAGTTTAATATCAGTTAACGGAAGGAAAGTCATATATCAGCAAGGTGTTCATTCTAATTTTTGGAGCAGCAAATATTTATCTTTCAGTATTGTTTCCTTGGAAATATACCTACTGATCATCATCTACTTCTATAAATGATACTGTAAACATTATGCCATGATAATAACTGTTTATCAGATAATTTCTGAAATATAAAAACTGAATATTAAAATGAAATGTCTTTTATCAGGTCTTCCAGGTTAGGAAGGTTCAAGGTGCTCAGACAGGAAAAATCTTTGCCATGAAGGTCCTGAAAAAGGTACTTTGTCGCTGCCCTCAGCTTCCTCCTAAAGGCCATTTCACACTGCTGCGCAGGAAATGCCCTAACGACTGCCTGCTTGCAAGAGCATTCCTCAGAACATCAAAGCATTCTAAAAAGTGCTTGCTGCCACTATGGTCCGATTTGATGCCGACTTGCTCTGATATCATGCACACGTGGGCAACAATAACTACACAAGAAAGAGGCGGCAGCAGTTCCTTGAGTTTGTGGCTGTTTTATGTCTCATGTTGTGCAATCTTTTAACAAGCATATCTTGAGTGGTTGATGATGATGATAATAATAATAATAATAATGATGATGATGACTACGGGCAGATGATCTACGAATATGCAAACATTTCTGTGACTTAGGAAGGTCTCTTGATCTCTTGACTGCAGCCTGATCTCATCCACTTTCCTGGGGAGGCGCAGTTCATCTCGAATGAGCCTACTCTTATGATATATGCAGAAAAGAAGTTGTTAAATGTGATAGGATGTCAAAAGTCCTGTAGTGTACACCGAGCATAAGCAACTGCTTAATGTAGCAAGACAATGGAAATGACTGAAATTGTCTTCCCAGGCCCAGTTTTTCTTCCAGCTGTGCTTTTAAGTAGCCGTGATGTACAACTTCGGGTATTAGACACCAGCATTATCAGCTCCTCCATTGCTCTTCCTTCTGACCTTGCAATAGTCATCCTCTTCTATTTGATTGGCCGAAGCCATCCGGTCAGAAGTCCAGCAGGGTGAACTTTGGGGGGGAAAATCTGTGCACCTTCACATGGGCGGCAACCGCTTCATAACCATACTGCTGTGATCAAAACTGCTTCCCCTCATTTAAATGACTGGAAGAAGGCAGTTACTGCGCGACAGTGTGAAAGTCCCTTTAGACGTTTAAACTGTCGTTTAAACAGTACATGAAGTTATTTCTGGCTTTCCATTTAGTCTTCAGACTTTTTTCTCTACACCAGCCATTATTTTCGTCCTGCTTTCTTTCCACCTGCTTTGCCTCTATGCTAACTTGTTTTGTTTATTTTTATCTGCAGGCTAAGATCGTGTGTAATGCCAAAGACACAGCGCATACACGGGCAGAGCGGGAGATCCTGGAGACTGTGAGACACCCTTTCATTGTGGATCTTCTGTATGCCTTCCAGACTGGGGGAAAACTCTACCTCATACTGGAGTGTCTGAGTGGTAAGGCACTGAGGGATGGACTGATGGACGTGGAGGATAAAAAAGAGACTATGAGCCATCTGTACTTGCCACTACCTTTTATCAGATCCATTCATTTTCAGCATTTATGGTTGTTTGAAGGGCAAGGGAGAAAGAGGGGTGGATTGAGAAATAAAAGAATGTATGGGGTGAAGATTCTCTGATGCCTTTAACCCTCCCAACCTTACTGTTGTTTATCACCAGGAGGGGAATTGTTCATGCAGCTAGAGAAAGAAGGCATCTTCATGGAGGACACTGCTTGGTAAGGATGCTTACACCTGCAAACTAGTTTTTTCTTTTAAACTAAAGCGAGTTAATGATACATTGTTTCATTCCTTGTTAGTCTCACTGTGGCAGTTTAGCTCGGATCAGTCTGCCTCTTGTCATGCCATGGACTCAAATTATTCATATCTGTGTACAGTTTCTATCTAGGAGAGATCACGTTGGCCCTAGGTCACCTCCACTCTAACGGGATTATTTACAGAGACCTCAAACCTGAAAACATCATGCTTAATCACCAAGGTAACACACCACACGCATATACATGTGAACAGTATCAGATGAAGAACCAGGCAGATATGGGAGTTTCGAGACCGAGAACATTCACATAATACCAATATGGCAGCTGATAAAGTGATTTTTTTGAGCTGGAATGAAAATATGTGGACTTTGCACCAATATACAAAGAAGGCTGATTTCTTCTTCTAAAACAGGGGTGTCAAACTCAATCACACAAGGGGTTTTGTCTGATTTCCTGCGATTTCCTTAACTTGGTCTGCCAAAAAAAAAAAGTCTGTATCTGGTCGTGGACACACCTGCTCACACATCTTCAGCACGCACCGCTTCAAAAATGCACCCTCTGAAAAACGCCTTGAGGCTCGGGCTGTTTCTTCAGCTACAATAAAGCGAGCTTTCACTGCTGCATTTTTGTGAACATTTCCTTCTGCAGTTGCAGTCTGCCTTTTAATTCTTGGGCAATTTGTTGTTTTTCTTGGAGGCTAAATTTAGCATATTTATCTCCATGTTTGGTGTCAAAATGCCTACGTAAATTTTAGGATTTTTTTAATATGTCATTGTTTTTTCGTGCAAAGTTGCAGTCTGCCTATTTAAATTACTTGGACAAAAAAGCGGAGCAGGATTTGTTGTTTTTCTTGGGAGGCTAAATTTAGTGGGGACATATTTAGTACTCCTATGGGTTTGGTGTCAGAAATGCCTTAGCGGTAAAAGTGTAAATGGTACTTTTCAGTTAATCTGTTCACCTACCCCCACGGCCGGGGAAAAAAAAAAAAAAAATTTATAAACCTAAAAAAGGCGAAGAGGGGACACAAGTGCGCTCCGACAATTCTAATCACATTTTAAAGGATACGACTGATTATCGTTATCGCCAAAATCCCAAAATATATTATTTCCCATATATGCAATATACAAAGACACACAAACATATATTTGCTTTCCCATCTTTCATTAAATTGCCTTCCTCCTGCATCAGTTTTTCTCTTGGACATTTTTGGGATTAATTGTTGACATTTCTAATGTACGCTTGTTGGAAAATCGCCTGTTAAAGACTGAAGCGGAAACACTGCGATCTAGTGGCGGGAGGCCGTTACTTTGTGGGTTATGAAATCAACGTACATTGTGGGAGATGTAGTTTATGGTCAATGTATGCTTTAAATTAGGATAGACTTTTATTTCAAGACAACCATACGCATTTCAAGGTCTTGCGGATTCGGCCCGCGGGCCTTGAGTTTGACACACATGTTCTGAATTCTTTAAGATGTTAAATAATTGGACATTATAGATTGTCAACCAATTCTAGTTGACATTGCTGAGAGCTGCTGCTTCTTACTCCCTGGTGTCACTGTAAGGTTTATCCACAGTTCTGTGGCCAGCAGCACAATCTATTTTTAATGCTACATATACTGGAAAAACTGTTTTCATATCATTCTAATTTTGGTTTATTTTAGTTTGTTTCCAGTCTGAAGTGTGAATCTAATTTCCCCCCCCAAAATACCCCCTTTTGAATGATTCATTTCATGTTCTGGATTTGAGCCAAAAGTGGTGTCAACAGTCCTAGTGAATATGAGGACTGTGTGGTTTGTGTGTGTTGTTTCCTGTTCTCTGCTTTGCATTGTTTTGCAGTAAGTGTCATTTCCTCTTACTTCTAATATAAACACATTAACCACAGATCTGTGTTACTTCAGTGTTATGTTTTTTCTTTTTTAAAGGACACATCAAGCTAACTGACTTTGGCCTCTGCAAGGAATCAATTCATGACGGATCAGTCACACACACCTTCTGTGGCACCATAGAGTACATGTGGGTAATAAATCTCACAAACACACACTGTCACACTCTTTTGATCACGTCTGTGTCCAACTGTAAAACCAGTTTCTGCTATTTCCACCTCCAGTGACCGTTCTACGGGACTAAGAATGTGTTTTGCTCATGTTGATGCAGGACTATCTCTTGTATCATAAGATGCAAGAGTTTGTGTTCCCTTTTCTAAACATTCCATACATTGCATTTCAGCACTTTTAGCAAACAAATCCATTTATTTTTGAGTTTTTGAATGATTAGAAATATTAATTGCAATTCAGCCAATTTGCCACACCCACACACATCTTTACACTTTCTTTTTAACTTTTTTCCATGTTTGTGTATGTCGTCTTCTCTGCCAGGGCTCCAGAGATCTTGACCAGGTCGGGTCACAACAGAGCAGTAGACTGGTGGAGCCTGGGGGCCCTGATGTATGATATGATGACCGGCTCAGTAAGTTAGAATACTTATTGATTATGAGGAAATGTTATAATTTTCATTTTGTTCCCTTTAAACTCATACTTTACTAAACTCAGACTAAATTCTGAAAGCTGCAATGTTAATTTCTTTTGCTATTTATGTAGTAGCTCAATCGAGAAAAAAATGTAACTAGGTTGATATTAAGAGTAGTAGCTTATTAGTGATGCTATTTACCCCTACCTTTTTGAAGTTACAGCCCTATTTACAGATGGCAGAAACCAGTAGTTTTGATCTCCTTTAGTAACTGCTGACTGTGATTCTCCACCAGCCTCCATTCACAGCTGAAAACAAGAAGAAGACCATTGATAAGATATTGAAGTGTAAACTCAATCTACCCCCATACCTGACCATCGATGCCAGGGACATCATCAAGAAGGTACTGCACACACACACACACACACACACACACACACACACACACACACACACACACACACACACACACACACACACGCACACACACACACACAGATAATTTCCAGATGTAGTTTCAGAGGATTTTGAATATTCAGTCCTTTTTTACTGATGGAAATTACCTTTTTTATTCTCAGTTGAGCTGTGACTCTATAAAGTGTCCTGATGCACATGTTTTCTCACAGTCCAAAATTATGAGATGCTAATATTTCAAAAATAATAAAAGCATTTTACCTATTGGTATTAATGTATCATTGACTGACAGTGTTTTTATGCTTTTCTTCCTTATAACCACCATTAATAAGTTTCTCTTTTGTGGAGCTTAAAATATACTAGTTCTCATTTTAGCATGATGTGGTAATCTATGACCATAAAATAAAAGCAATATGAAGGCTACAAAAAACTATGATAGTCAGTTGTGGTATGTATTGTCAGTCTGCAAAAGGTTGTTACACATGTCGAAGTATCCTTGAGCAAGATACTGAACCCCAGATTGCTCCAGAAGCCGTGCATCGGTGTGTGACTGTGTATGAATTAGTTAGTTTCTGTGTGATTTACCATCATCTGTGTGAATGTGTGTGAAAGGGTGAATGTAGCACGTAGTGTAAAAGCGCTTTGAGTGGTCATTTACCATTTACCAAGTATGCTCTGATATTCCTTGCAAAGCAGATGCGTGCTGTTGACCATTGAATTCTAGATGAATCAATAAGCCCTATAACCCTACAGAGTAATCCTCTTCTGAAGCAATGCATACAATGAAATGGAAAAGAACCTCTTTCCATCCAAGTTTCATTATGAAAAAAACATTCAGGATCAGCCATGCTTTCTACAGTTGTATTTCTGAAGATGTGGTCCAAATCACTTTTATTTCAGTTGGGTGTAATTAAATGGTAAATGGACCTGTACTTGTATAGCTCCTTTCTAGTCTTCCGTTCTAGCGCTTTTACACTACGTGCCACATTCACCCTTTCACACACATTCACTCAGTGACGGCAAAGCCCATCAAACAGAAACTAACATTCATACACATTCACACAGCGATGCACGGAATCGGGAGCAATTTGGGGTTCAGTATCTTGCTCAAGGATACCTCGGCATGTGGCGGGAGGAGCTGGGGATCAGACCAACAACCTTCCGATTAGTGGACGACCCGCTCTTCCTCTGAGCCACAGCCGCACAGCTAAGGCCTGCATGTGGAGCTTTTAAACTCTTGAGCATCAACTGTAAAACTAATAATAAGGTTAAAAGACATTAATATGGCTTCACAAAACCATCTCACCCCAAGGTCCATGGTATCACACACACAGTTACAGTGTATTGAGATTGTTTTGTCAACTAGTGTCTGCAAGGTTAAAAATGAACTTTCAACCTCTGCATTTACATTGTCATTTGAAATTACACTAAAATAATTAAAATCGAAATTAAAAGCTAGCTAAAATTTAAAATCATCAGAAATGTCAAACTTCACTTCATAGTTTCTCTTTCATTTGACATAATTCAAATAAAATAGATTTAGGTCAAAGGCTTTCTTTTGCATCTGAACAGAGATGTGTATGCCAATATTTAATATACCAAATATTGGCATCATGAACATAAAAACTTTAGTAACAGGGAAATGAATCTGTCTCCATTGACTGTATAGTAATCTGATGAAAGCATCTACCTGTCATTTTGTGTTACTTTCATTATGTTTCGTGGAATTATGGAAACGAATTGCAACATTTAGCACACAATCATTAGTTTTTATATTAACCCCACTCTATCTCTTTCCAGCTGTTGAAGAAGAATCCAGCCCAAAGACTTGGCTCCAGTAAACCAGACTGTGCTGATATCCAGGTAAATAACTGCAGTGACTTTCTCACTTTTCACTGGCAGAGTACTGTGTATCATCAAGTATAAAAGCAAATTCAGATACACAATAAGAGCTATACAGGAAAATCAAACAGACAGACCGGTTAGGCTGTAACATGAGATAAGATTATATTCGACTGTGTCATTTCACAGAGTACAGGTACTGAGGCAACCAAATGCAGGCTAGCATCTAACCAGAAGTCCAAAAAGCAGTAGTAATGTATAAGTGAATAGATAACGGTTGCCTATCACCGAGGTGCAGAGTTCATTAAGCTGGCGACATGCTCAACCTCTGTCCCGTTACAACTGATGGAGGTGTGCGTGCAGTCTTTGGTCTTAAGTCTACAACAAGCTCTTTGGTCTCTTTGGTTTTTGGTGTTGAGGACCAGTTTGTTATCGTTGCACCACAACGTCAAGTTCTGGACCTCCCTGTATCCCGACTCATTGTTGTCAATGAGGCAAACCACAGTTGTATTGTCTGAAAACTTTATAATGATATTGAATAGGGATCAACCAGTATGTTTTTTAATGGCCCATACAGACACCGATTATTAGTAATCCAGCGAACAGATAACCAATCAGAGAGCCCTGTTGGACACCAGTGTTCACGGTGAGAGCTCTGTTGGTTAGGAAGTCTAATATCCAGTTGCAGAGGGAGGTGTCAGTGCCAAGGTCCCCGAGTTTGGAGATCATTTACAGAGCTAAACTGAACTCAATGAATAGGTGTTGCTATTGTGCACTTCATGGTGGTGGGAGTGAGTCCAACAGAGCGGAAGTAGTTTAGGCTCGGTGCAGTGGACTGTTTTGGCACGTGCACGATTGGAGATGGCTCTGTAGCAAGTGGGGACAGTTGCTTGGGCCAGTGAAAGGTTGAAGATGTCAGACAAGACCTCCCTCAGCTGCCCAGCACAGGCCCTGAGCACACATCAGGGATACCATCCAGGCCGGCAGCCATACGTGTAGTACAGCATGCATGTCGATGGGGTAGAGTGAGTGTAACATGTTTGTTAGAAAGACAGACATAGTCTTAGTACCATTTAAAAGGATGTGCAATATACAGCATTGAGGGGACATTGACAGGAGTGGCTTAACTTTTAGGTGAGAAAAAGTCTGGTTGAGTAGAAAACTTTTGAAGGCTGTAGTAGAATTGCTGCTAAAGTACAGCTTGTAAACAAAAGAGACCTGGACTCACAGCTCCCCCTGGTGTTCAGGGACTAATGTTCATTCAGCTGCAAATGGGGCCTATAGAGAATATATAATTAGCCCTTTTGTTCTACTGCAGAAACATCCGTTCTTCAGGCACATCAACTGGGATGACCTGCTGAGCAAGAGAGTGGAGCCGCCATACAAGCCACAGCTGGTGAGTCATCAGTTGTCATTTTGTGCCCATTATGTTGTCCAATAGCTTGTTAAGTCAGTATTCTGTTTGTTACTCTGGGCTAGCTAGTTAACACAGCAAAAATCTTTTTTATGTTGCCAAACCTCTCACTGTCTTTTGTTACATTCTTACACACCTGCACATTTCTATACACCTTAATAAATCCTAATACAACTCTTTTTTTCTGGCTCCCGTCTGGCTCTCTCTAGCAATCGGACGAGGATGTGAGCCAGTTTGACACCAGATTTACCAGGCAGACGCCGGTGGACAGTCCAGACGATAGCACACTCAGCCACAGCGCAGAGCTCGCCTTTGCTGTGAGAGATCAGTCTTTTTTCCGCCAGTTTACCGGAAATTTCAATTCCAGTTATTAGTCAATGTCTACTTCAATACACTGCTGTCCCATGTTGTAACTAACAATACAGAAGTTAGACTATAAGATACCTAAGCAACATTGTGATAAAACAACAAACACCTGTTTTAATGAGGAAGCCAGTGACATGCTAACGTCATCCATCTCTGATTGACCGTCCTGAAGGAATGATCATTTTCCAACAGGGTTTCACCTACGTCGCTCCGTCGGTCCTAGAAAGTCTAAAGGAAGGCTTCTCATTCGAACCCCGAACACGACCTGTACGCCGACACAACAGCAGCCCACGCACACCCATCAGGTAACACGCACACAACGGCACTTTTTCTTTAGCTGTATAGCTTTTTACTGTATGTAATTCCGTTGGTATGTGGTTAGGGGAAACGGTCCATAATTGTTTATTCTTGGTTCCCCATTAGCCACCAAGATAGCAGCTAATCTTCCTGAGGTCCACACACAACAAACCATACATACAGAAAAGAAATATAACGCATATAAAAAGACAGTAGAGGAACTTGAAACACTGTTTTACAACCATTCTCACCAATTGCAACAGTATTACCAGTAGTATATCATTTTCCTGGGATTCAAAAAGGCACCTCGAGTACAGCATTTGTAGACAATTTTATAATCCACCCTATTTTCTTTAATTATTATTTATTAATAAAGATATTATTATTTACTAAGAGGCAAAAGGACAACAAATCAAACAACATTGCAGAAACAAACACAAGCAGCAAATCTCCCAAAAACAAAAAATGATGCACAACATTTATCTTTTATCACCAGGCCTACAAGAAGTACATAACAAATTGCAATTGTATGGACTTCCTTATCTCTATCTGTCCTTGGGTGGCTTGAACGAGCTTATGAATAAAATAAAATAATATGTTTTATTATGAAATAATAATTGTTGAGCCTTATTCCCAGTTCATTAAATTTGAGCCAACCCAAAGTGTCGGTATGACGATATGGGAATGAGACCAACAAGAACAATCAGCTATCTTACTGACCTGTTATTGGCTCAAGTTTCAGGGGCTAGATGTTCTAAATCCTGAAGAGCCAGGAGGAAGCACAGTGTTCAAGTTTTCTCACAGACCAATTGTTGAAAGGTTATCGTGGAATTCTTGCCCAACGATGCCTAAAATAGACTACCACAGCTTTAAATCAGTGATTAGTTAGGGTAGATGAAACTATGCTGAGGTTTGCTGAATGCCATCCTTAATGTTATTGCTTTAGTATGCATCTATGTACTGCTAGCCCCCGGTCCTGGTGCAACCACACACCTCCTGACACACGGCCAGTACACGTAAACATGTAGAATATGTGTGTATTCCAGAGTGTAAGCTCTCTGAAGCTCTGCCCTCCTTCAGCTGTCACACACACACACACACACACACACACACACACACACACACACACACACACACACACACAGACCAGCAGCTTCTTCTCTGCTGCATTCTCAAACTGTTTATTAGGACTCTCTCAAGTGACTTTTACTCTTTCACTGAAGCAAATATATTGATAATTAAGTACACTTTTCTCACTAACTCTCAGCTACATAAACGTCTCCCATCTTTCAAGATGTTGTTTAGTATTATTTCTGTTTCTAATGGTTCCAAAATATATTTTGAGAAACATTAAAGTTGATAATATAACTGTCCACTACTGACTGAAGCGTCGCCCTGTACAACAGAAAAAAGAGCTTCATTTTAAAACACATCTTTTCATTACTCACACTCCAAAAGCCAGAAACAACTTGACAATACTAAAACAAACTCAGTTTCATTCTCTAACTCTTTCATGGCCATAATTGTGTTGCAACTTTCTTTCCTTGTCCGTTTCTTTCAGTCCTCTGAAATTTTCCCAAGCTGGACCCTTCAAGTGCAGCATCGACGGAGAGACAGACCTTTTCTCTCCGACCTCTCCGCCAGCAGCTCCAGTTTCTGTGCCACTGGAAAACGGTACTGCCAGTCAGCCCATCAGGACGCCCGCGAGGAACAAGAAGCAGAAGGGCCATCGGAGATGAGGAGGATAGTCTTCAAAGAGCCGGCCTATGCTACAAGACCTTGGTCAGATTGATATTTTTTCTAGCAGACAGTAAGAGCTGAAGTGTTTTGTTTTTGCTGGTATAATGCTTTTTTGAAGTGGTTTAACAAATACAGTTGTACTTGGGGCTTACTGTTCAGGACTTCCTGTTTGCCATATAACTATCTACAGTAAGATTCACTGGATCGACATGGAGTTTTCATGCTTTTTCTTTGTGAAGACAGTTTGAATAACTTCAGTTTCATCATTTGTCTCAGATAGTCACTATAAGCTTTAATTTACAGCTTCCATATATCTGCACTTACATAGCTCACATTGTGGCACTAATACATGGGAAATAATGACTTGTATAACAGTGTTTTCTACAAATAGCACTATAAAGTGGGCAACAGAACCACACTAAATCCATCATGAGGAGTCAAGGTCAGTAAATGATGGATTCATTGGTAAATGTGTAATTTTGTATGTAGACCCTAGTACAATTACAGCAAAGGGAAGCTGTGATATAAAGTTTTTTGGGTTTAATAAGTTCATCAGCTTTTAATTAGTTCATCAGAGTTTTTGCAAGGAGGTCGGCTATCACAGGCTGACATTTTAATTAGAGAACTGATGAAGGATCACTTGATTGAAGTCCTGATTCTTTTCCATTAAGGTTGAACTGTGAAACTGACCTTCAGCCGTCAGGTTTTCAAGTAACTTTTGACGACGCAAGCTTAAAGTTGTAAGATTTGTTCATGTGTTGGGGTGGGATTCATATCAAAATCTACTGAATGAAATGCTACATCGCACACAGAAGATAATTTATTTACGAATGTCAGATTTTATCTTCACTGATTTCTGTCTGAAAATCCGGCAACATTCATCAGTGTTTGTCACTTCTCTGGGATTTCTGAACAGAGAGTCTTCATGTCTACTGCCAAAGCTTTAACACATCCTATCCTCATATTGTACAAACGGACCAATCACACTATAATAATGCACTTGACAAGAAGGATATACTGCACTTATTAATTTGGGCGAATAAAGAGGTAATCAGTAATCATCCTTCATCAAAATAGGACCTGTATAGTAATTAAAGTGTTACAGTATGTTCACATAAACATGTGCATTCATATAGTTAGTACAATGTACAGTCAAAGCAGGCTGTTAAAGTGGTGCTCTCAGAAAACAAGTTATAATCTTGTATAAAAAGAGTATTTTGGGTTACTGAAGAAGCCTATTTTTACACATGAAACCTAGGTCAAATAGTATTTAAAGAAATAATTCAAATCCTAGATATTTTGAAGTGTTGGTCATTGACTGACATACCTGTCAGGGGTGATGCTTGATTGAGTCACTGCAGTCAAACACCAATTCAGCACTTGGATGAATCACAGAAAGGCTGTGATGTTCATTTGATGCCAAAATATTAGTTTTCTTTCTTAGAATAAATGATTCATCATTCATGGTTCATTTGTACCAAATTCTGGACCATGTCACTATATCTTGCATTATTACAGTACAGTTAAAAAAAACACAGTTAAGCATGCATGAGTCTTAAGGCACTAAAACACAGGCAGCTCTTCAAGACAGCAGAGACAAAATGAGTGTAAATATTAGAAATTAATTTAGGCTAACAAAATATGACAAATGGTAAAATGAACTATAAAGCTTTCAATCATTGCCTCCAATCCAGTGATGTATATATGTATGTGTGATGTATGTACAATCAGAGGTAAGTACTGATGGAGTAAAGATGGGTGGAAACATCCCACAAATTGATGTAAATAACATGGCTGAAGAAGTTAAAGTGCTTCTATTTGTTGGCTAAATCATCCATTTGCTTCAGTTCTTGAAAATGCTGCCTGTCTGTCATTGTCTTTACTGGAGAATAAGGAATGTATTTTACCAAGTGTTCAATATTACATAAATAGATAATGAAAAAAATAACCATATGAATATATACAGACGAAATATGTAGAACCATGAAATCAGGAAATGATCCAAAAAACGTTTGGCTACACTAGCAGCGTGGGTCTAGGGATGGCAGTGTCAGTCTGTCAGTGGCTGATCGGTTCACTACTGCCGTCGAGACTGAAATATCTTAGCAACATTTGTACATTCATGGTTTTCAGAGGATGACTCATACTGACTTTGGAGATTCCCTGGCTTTTCCTCTAGCGCCACCATGAGGTTCACATTTGGGGTCACTTCTTATCTTCCCATCAGCTTCAGCTTTACTTTACAGCTTTAAGTGCTAAATGGTCACATGTTAGCATAACTATAAACTAAGATGGTGAACATCAGCATGTTAGCACTGTCAATGTGAGCATACTGACGTTGCATTTACCTCAGAGTATGTCACTGAGCTGCTAACATGGCTGCACACTGTGTGGCATTCAGACGGAAAATGACGCTGTAGAATAAACTATTGACTATGGACATTTTGAAATAAAAAAATAAATTACGATAAAATGACCTGGAAGAAAACAGTGAAATAGTGTTTCATAATAATGAGCTTTTTGAGTTTTAAAGGTCCAGTAGGATTTAATGGCATCTAGTGGTATAGTTGCATATTGCAACTTCCTCACTTCACCCTTCCATTCCAAGCACACTGGAGAAGCTAGGTTGCCGCGATCTGTGTAAAAAATCCAAATGGCCCTATTTACAGCCAGTGTTTGGTTGTTTGTTCTGGCCTACTGTAGAAACATAGCAGTTCAACATGGCGGCCTCCGTGGAAGAAGACCCGCTCCATTTGTAGATAAAAATGTCTCATTCTATGGTCAGGAAAACACAATTCTTATCTTAAGGTGTTTATACACTGATGCCTCTATATATATATATATTATATTATTAATACTGATGCCTCTATATGACATACATAATGCCTCAAGATGACCTACATAAACAGACCATCTACAAAAAGATTTGGCTATTTTCATATAGTCTTTCTTAATGCCTGCCACCGGGTTGGATTCAGTTGGATTCCCCTTGAAATCAATGAAACGAGGCAGTAGAAACACTTTAGTCCACAGGGGCTGAGTTTCTTGTTGCTGCTTTAAGCGAGTCACAGTATTATTTTTGAACAATTTCATGGTTATGTATTTTATCTGTGTTTATACATATGATTATTTTTTAATATCTTGCATATTTATTTGATATTGAACACAATTCGTCTCCATAAAATCAAGCTGCTTTTCTTTTTAAAAGGAAGATTCTGGTTTTCCTGCTCCTGTTTGCAGGTCTCTCCTGCCCACACATAATGTGGGAGCAAGTTATTCCTTCCTTCCTCCACCAGCCTTCCTTCATTAACACTGGATACAGAGTCTGTACATGTTTGATGCTGAAACAACAGCCCGTTTCTCCACTGTGTGAACTGCCCTCAGAGGAATGGGTAGCTCTTCACACTGCAGCTCGTTTCTGTAATGACGCTGTAACTATGCAGCGAGGAGGTATAAACTCATGAATTGTAAAACAAATTATTTGTAATGTAGGTAATAAGACAAAGACACAAGTTGTCAGACTTTGCAGTTGGACAGCTTGAACGATTGTGTTTGGTTTTGTATATTTATTTACATAATGAATGATAATTATGGAGTGATAGATAAATTGATGTGAAAGGGATTCTACACCTCCAGAGCTAATGCGGAATTTATATTCTAAAAACTGAATTCAGAAGAATTCAATCGAGTGGATTACAGATCACATTTTTGTGATGATTGCTGGACTTTTTCTTTTGTGTCTTGTTTTCCTTCTGCTAACTGATGAATGTTATGAATAAAAAACATTATTGCTGAATTGTTGTATTCAGAATTTTATTTATGCAAGTTTCATTTCTGATTGATGGGTGAATACTTTCCCAAGTCCAAAGAAAATTAAATTTGATCAAAGCACACATTTTTTAAGTATATTTAATCAGGGTAGGAACCAAATGTTATGATTTATAAAACTAAAATCAAAGAGCCGTCCATCAATATTTCTTAGTTCCCGATGCTGTGAAGAAGCCTTCTTTGAAAACACCTGTACAGACCATAACATCATTAGTGCCATCTGCCTTGAGCAGTTCTCCAAAACCTTTCCTCCACTTTTGAGTATGATAAAAAATGTATCACATTTGACCATTTCTTTGCCGTCAATAGAGTGGTAGAAATCACAAGTCTTCCTTGATGCTTGTCCTTCCTTTCCACCCTTCTTATTACATTCACATTTATTTACTGTAGCTGACCAAATCGACTTACTTAAGTGTATTCAACCATGTGGAATAAATCCAAAAATTGCAAGAATCCTGCAAGTACATCAACTTGATCAAATATGCTGAACTGATTGGAGTGCTACATTTATAACTAGTGATGTACCGTTACAGATGCCAGTATTGGGCATCAGCTCAGATACTGTGCTCAGGTTCTTGTAATTGTATTCATAAAACTACTCTGATACCACTTTACAGTGACTTCTCGTTAGATGAGTAGGAGAAGAAGTGTTTGTAGATATATTTTAAGCAACTTTTACAACAATATTGGCAACATTAAATTTATTACAGTCAGAAAGTGATGAACATGATGAAAATAAAACATTGAACTGTAATGGTATTATTAAGTACTCATATTGGCAAGTGCCCAAATGTATGTACTTGTATTTGGTCTGAAAAAAGTAGCATTGGTACATCCCTAGTTAGAACAATACAACAACAAGAGATTGATCTTTTTTTTTTTATGGCCAAGATGCAGTCCGAACAGGAGTTTTAGACTGCAACAGACGATGTGTAGAGTTTCTGAAGTCCTGATGTCAGTGCTAGTTACACCATTGTGGAGCCAGGACCACAGACAGTTGTGATTTCGTTGGGCGGCAGACTCAGAGTAGTGAGGGAGTCATAAGCTTATTGGCAGTCGCGGAGCGTAGTGGACGGTGTATGGGTTGACCATGTCCTGTATGTAGGATGGGCATCATCAATTTGAGGCACGGTAGCCAAGTACCAGTGTCTTGAATTAGATTTCAGCAGCCACCAGTAGCCAGTGCAGGGTGTGAAGGAGGAGCAGTGTTGTATGGGAGAACTTGAGTCAGTTGAAGACTAGCTGGGTTGCTGCATTATTGATAAGCTGCGGAGGTCAGGTGCCACATGTAGGCATAACAGCCAGGAGTGAGTCACAGTAGTCTAGGCACTGGTCTAGGTGAGCAATGGATGTATCGTCTTGATGTTGTGTAGAATTTGCCTGGGTTTTAGAGTGGGGAAAAAGGCAAGAGTAATTCAGTGTCATCTGCATATCTGTTGTAGGAAAAGCCATGTGAGTGAATAATTTATTAATTAATTACTAAACAACTCTTCGGCCTCCCTCATGCAATGTAACATCTTTGATTTTGTGAGGAAGAACCAGTGCAGACATGGGAGCAATCAAGAGAACATTAACAAAATCAGAGTGAGGCAATATTTTTATGTTAACAGTGGAGCACAGAACCATTGGCTCTTAGCGGTATGTTGAGAAATACTTGGTGACGCTTTATCCAGGAAACATAAATTACTATTAGTATCTACAGCAAATACGATAAATACCAGCAGGTGCACCTTCAAGGATATGCAGGCTGACTTCACTGACCTTCACTAACTGATTAGCAGCCCATTTATTTCATTTCCCAGCAACCAAAGTCAGCAGGCGCTACTTTACGTCACCGATTCACGTCATCGCCTCAAAACTAAAATCATCCCAAAACACACTACATGCCAACCTTTAATTTTCAGTGTCAGTGGTGCTTGCCCATTAACTGCTGCTCATATTCACAAACACACACTGAACTCAAATCACAAGACTTACTGTATTTAAATGTGGGTTTGGGTATGGGTTTCTTACCTGAGTGTCTAACTTCCTGGGTCAAATATAGCATTTGAAACAGGGCAACGAAACACTCAAATTTCCAACTGCTTCTGGAAACTATGTGAACAAACAGTGATAAATTGAGATCTGAATGCAAACATGCTGATTAGTTTATCACATGCATGTTAAGTACACATCAGATTGAAATGTGTAAACATGATGTGAGACTATAAATCCCAGAACTCTTTGGGACCTCCTTGTCAAAGACCATCTCTCATTCACAACAGCCAGGTAAGCCTTTCTGCTGTACCTTCTTCACCGTAATGTGGGTTGAAGTGAATTTTATGATCTGAGTGATGAACTTTTCCCTCAATGGCAGGAACGTGTCATTCATCACCATGAAGCCATCTCTTGTCCTCTGTGTTCTCCTGGGCATCGTCCTCTCTGTCAGAGCTGCAACAGGTACGTGAACTAGAAATAACTCACATAAGCCTGCTACATGAACTTACTTCTCTGTTTGACACAGTTCTGTCTGTAAAACAAATGCATTTTAAGGCAAAAGTTTAGGTTTAGCAAGAAAGTTTGAATGAATATCTGCCCTTTTCTGCTTTTTTTTTTTTTAAATCTCTACACGCAGCTCCAATTACACCCCAGTATGGTTCAACCAATTTTGCATTAGGGTTGGCACTTTCTATACGAAATTAGAATTTTCGTTTGAGCATGGGAGAAAATTTTATATTTGACCTGTTTGAATTCAAAAGTCTATCAATGCAGCAGATAAGGAAGAAGAAAATTGCCTTGGTCTAGCACTTAAAATTTAAATCAGCTTGACGTATTGCATGCCCTATTTACCTATCAGTAAACTTAGGTAATAAATTAATCAGCCAATCAATTAATCAAGCTTTAGTTACAGTATATAGCACATTTCAAACACATAAAATGTAGTTCAAAGTGCTTTAAAAAAACAGGGATTTACCAATGCATGCCAAAACAACAACAAAAAAAAGGGGGGGAAAAATAGCTGCAGTAGGTAACTTTTATAAAAATTACATTTTGTCATATTTACAGAAACGTATATATATCCTGACAATAGTACATGAGACCGAACATTTGTAAAAACCTCTGGTTCCTCCTAGTGCTCCTAATGGTATAAAAAAAAACCAATCAGAGGTTAGGTTAGGCTTTGTTAGCTTTATATTAATATCAACTACATTCATGTTTTAAAACTTGGAAAGATTTGTGTTGAATATAATTTTAACATTTTTGTACAGGATGATCTTTTGAACTAATGCAGGCTTTAATTCTTTTCTTCACAGTGCTTCCCTCTGTAGAGGCTGCCACTGATGCAACTGCAATCACTGATACAGTAACTCCTGTGACAGGGATTGTCAGTCAGACCCCTGAGGACACTAATACCACATATACCAGTACTACACAAAACCCTACACCAGTCACATCAATTCCTTGTTGTGCAACATCTCCAACATCTCCATCACCACTATCACCATCACCAATCCCCACTACACAAGCTCCTCTCACACCAAACCAGATGATGTGTCCTGATGGATGGGAGGTGTTCCAGGGACGTTGCTACTACTTTGTGAATGAGGGCATGACCTGGCCTCAGGCTCAGGTAAACACAGAACAAGACTACATCACCAAACACAAACACACTCTCTCTAGAAAACCCAAGGTTCATGATAATTAATTATTAATGAATGGATTCTTTGATTTTCTGCATCAGTTTCTTCTATAACAAACAGTACGTTTTATGTTACAATGTTAGACGAGATGATCACTTATTCCCTGATGTGTTTTGTTATATATAATGCCGGGGTAAGTGAAGCCATAGAACAGGCAGGCAGTTTTTAACTAATCATTCTCTATAAATGCTATTTATGGAAGCCCATTTCTGCCATGCAAAGTAAAAAAAGTTTTAAATATTTTTTAGTGAGAATATTTGCATAAATAAATAGCTGGTAAGTTAAATTTAAAAAAGTTAAAATTCTGATGTAAAAAGTCCTGATTTAGTATCAAATAACTACGATAACTATTGCCTCTTCTGGTTTCGGCACAGAACAAAGCATCTACTAGTATTTTCTTGCTTGTGAGCCATGACAAAAACGGTGTCAACTCAAAGGTGTACAAAGGTATTACTTAAACATAATGCAACTCAAATAACATACAGAAAACATACTGAAAAGATGAGGTGTGTTAGTCAGTAGAGAAAAACACACAGCAGGCCCTGGTAAGGCAGGAGGCTGTCATTCTGGTTTTAACCTCACATCTGACATCATCATCTAATTTCTATGCAGGAAATGGTCTGTCTTCATAAAGCAGGACCTTGACCATAAAGGCTGATTTGAACGTGTCTCTTTTTGTCCCTCTGTCCTCTTCTCCTCCTCCTCCAGTCGAACTGTGCCATGCTTGAGTCCATGTTGGTCTCTGTCCACAGCGCTCAGGAGTATGGTTTCCTCCAGCAGCTCACCAACAATAATGAAAATCAAGAAGCTTGGCTGGGCGGTTTCTACCTGCAGGTACACTCATTATGTAATGTTGTTAGCCACGGAGGCAAAAATCTGCAGTACCAAAAAGAAATAAAGGCATTCGAGACAATAAGAATCAGAAGGATGTAATGTGTATGTTTTTATGCCGATCTGTCTTTGTGTGGTCACTTGAACACACTAACTACATAATATTACATGATAGAAACTGATCTGAGACTTTGGAACACCTTGCTGTTTAAATATGCATCAACAGGGATAGGCTGATTTATTTGAGAGTGTTAATACTCCTCAAAGATTGTTCCCGCTGAGACATTTGCTAATTACTGCATGACTTATCTTAAAAAATGGCCTGAATCACAGTTTGAGCATTGAATCTATCATGATGATGATGAAACACCATGAAAGCCACGGAGCTTAACATCGAGCCATGCTGCAAGCTGTAAAAAAAAGCAACGTAACATGAGCTTTGGGTTTTTCTTTGAAGACAGTGTCAAGGCTTGTTGCATCCATTCAGAGCTCCATCTGCATTTCTATCCAAAACAGAATCAGACAAAAACTAAACAGCCCAGTGAAGCTCACTCCATTCCGCTCACTCTGTTGGGATTTTGGGTATTTGCTCACACATAAAACAATCAAGAGAAGATTAAAGGTCAGGAAGAGAGGGGTTGCCGTTTTCCATACTGATGTATTTTTTGTTAGTTTTCAGTATGAGTGTAAGAAAATGTCAATGCACTTGAGTACTGTGGTATATTGTTTTGTGATATTGTATCTAGGGATGTGCCGATCAAGTTTTTTTTAGCCCCCAATCCAATTAGAGCCATTTAACACTGAGTCCCGATCCTTTTAGATAATACAGGGGCACAGTGCACACTTCAAGTATATTAAAGTTATGAAAATGAATCCAATGTTTATGCTTGACAATTAAATAGTTCGGCTTTGCATCAAGAAAACAAATGCCTGCATTAAAGTTAAGTTACATTAAGTTCCTTAATGCGTTTTTTTACACAATAAAGTGTAAAATAACTAACCCTCTGTAATAGTTAGTCACTGTCTGGAGGGAGATTCTCTCTCCAGTGTTTGTGCTTCGGTGCACTCTTTGCCTGAGTTACCTGAATGAACTGTCTGTACAAACGAGGAAATAAACGCTCAGCAGAATAACCTAGTTTTCCCAGATTACATTGATTTATCACTATTAGTGGGGCTTTTGTGGCACTTGCATTGGCATGTTGAGTGTGGTTGTGTCAGCTCTCTACCGCTGTCTCTGCTCTCAGAGTGGAGAGAGCTGATGATAGCTATACCGTGCATGAGCTTTGTGAGTAAAAAATAGCTGTGTGACAGCTGACATAAAACAGAAGATCAGATCAGGTCAGTAAAGTTCAAAATAGCCAAAACTCATCAGTTAAAAAATGCCTCGATCGGGCCTTATTGTATCAGTTCTCAAAAACCCTATGGATTTTGTTTGTGTTTAAAACCCCAGCTGCTAGATAGCAGTGTTGTAAACTGAGAGCTGTGATGTTGGATGATACAGGGACTGTGATAAAAACAAATTCAGATCCCACTGGTTCTGCTGTGCTAATTTAGTGTTAGCTGAACAAAGATAGGTTATATACACAAAATGTCTAAATAGAGTGTTTTCCCCTTGTGTTTTTGCTTAAAATGTTTTGCTTTAATCTAAACTTTTCTTTGGTTGGGTTTGTTTTCTAACATGTTGCTATCTGACTTTTATTCCATCCATTGTTGTTTTTAGTTAGTCTCCATTGTACAACAAAGCCCTGATGATGATCTTGTGCTTCCCCTCCAGGACCAGTGGTTATGGCTCGATGGATCCTGGTTCTACAACAACAGCTGGAGCATGGAGTCCCCAGACAGCAGCAACCCCTGCCTAATGCTCAGTTCTTATGGTAAGAAAACATGCACATGAAGGTCCAGTGAGCCTAATAATACAGTGTATAAGAGGGTTTTACAGACTACAGCAGTAAGCTGCCCAGTGGCCCACGGCCATTAGAAAGCAGAAAACTATAGTGACTCTGAGGATGATTTAGCTCGTCACACACGGACTTCATTTTCAGAATGAAAAATCAAAGCTTTCAGAAACTTGAGTGAGTTTTATTATGTTACATAACCCTCTGTTCCATTATTCTCATGGCCTTTTTCTAATCTTCTTTTTTCACAGAGGCATGGAGCAATTCCCCATGCAACGCTGGTGGCTATTCTTCCATCTGTGTGAAGAACTCCAATGTCCGTAAGTCAATATGTCTTCTCTGCATTGCACAAAAACACAAAAGAGAGGTTCACAGTGAAGTTACAGAATGAGACAGAGGCTTGCATTACTCTTCATGTTACAGTTCTTTTTAACACAATATTATTATACAGCACTTATGACTTATTGTCCTGACTTTGCCAAGGCTTTAATCTCCATTGGCATCTCATTTGAATTACACTGATCTGATTGGAGGCCCTAAAAGCTCTGTTATTTTTAGAACTGACTGAAACAATTTAGCTTGAGACTTGAGTCTCAAAAAAAGTATGTGTTCTGTCTGCTCTGGAGGGATTTTTGTTAGCCTGGAAGCCAGATGGATCTGCAAGCTTGTATTTGTATTTTTTTTCTGCAACTATCCAACTGATGAAAAGTGGATTGACTGAGACTCTTCTCAGCGACTATCGGTTAAGTCGGCTATTAGGGGGGCAGCCCTACTTGTCGGTACAGTATACTTTCTGTAAAAGAACAACTGCGCTAAAAGCAAATATGTGTTTGCCTTACTTCAAATGGATTTAGTAAGTTCAATTTAGCAACTACGCACACTTTTCATTGCTTCGATTGATTGGCGGTCTATCCAATTGCGTCCAGAGGCATTTTGGCTGCAGTAGAAAAGGATGATGGGTCATGATAACTGTTGCAAAGTGCACAACGTGTAATTTTCATCTTTTTGTTTGACATTCGCAGCAACAGCAATGCTGTGTCCTCAAGGCTGGACGGGGCACCTCGGCCGATGTTACTACTACAACGATGAAAGTCTGACCTGGCCTGAAGCTGATGTAAGTACACAATATACCTGGCATTAGAGTGTGTCTCACATCCAGATTGTATTATAATTAATAATTATTATAATTGTAGAGGAGGGGGGGAGTGACACATTTCTTGTTGCTTTGGCTCTGTAGTCCTGAGGTAGTTAGCTGGTTTGATTGGTGATTATTCAGGCAGCTCGGACTTTTCCTCTTCAAAACTGGCAGTTCAGTTTTTCAGAGTAACAAACGTGCAAAAGTACCTTTCGGAAATCCCAAAATTTTTATTATTACGGAATGGAGTTAGCTGGATGAAAGATCATTTTAGCTGGCTAATCACGTTAGCCTGGATACGTTTTATATATCCCCTCCAGGCACATATTAAGACATATATAAATACTGTGTGTCTGATGTTTTTTGCACATCATTCCCACATTAAAGTCCCTAATTATGTAAATATGGCAAATGATGTTCATTTCTAAAGTTTTCCTGTCGGACACAAGATGTCTCCTTCCATTCTCAGTGGATGTGCACTGGTGGATCACACTGTACAGGTTGCATACTGGACCAGGACTGACTTCCTAACTATTTGTGATTGTCCCTTAAAATCAGATTTTTAATGAGCACAACCTCTGTCCCCGTCTCCTGCTCTATTCCACACGTCATCCTCCTCTGTCACCGTTCTCTCCCATCAGGCCACCTGTGCTGGTTTCGAGGCCAGCCTGGTCTCCGTCCACAGCCCTGAGGAGTATTCCTTCCTCTATCAGCAAGCTAATGGAGTAGCCTGGCTTGGTGGATTCTACCTTGAGGTGAGATGACCAAACAACACATGTGTTGTATTGTTGATTGTTGAGCTTGCCTGGCTCTCACCAAAGTTATGACTTCTAGAACCTATAAAGTTCACTAATTAATAAATAATCCCCTTGTAGTATCAAGAAATCATTAAATCATTAAAAGATAATGTTTCTCTGTCTGACTCCAGGACCAGTGGATGTGGCTCGATGGTTCCTGGTTTTATCAGGGATTTTTTACTGCAATGTCTCCAGACAGCATCAACCCATGCCTTTCAACATACAGCACCGGTAAGAAAACACACTCACACAGTTGGTGGTTTCCTAAAACAGCTTCAGTTTCATCCAAACAAAACATACGCTCCCGGTCATTTAAAAAAATTGTGGTTAGTTTGTGATATTGACAAAAAATATACTTTTTTTTTACCAGCCTGTATCAAGTAGATCTATGAATTACCTAGAATTACCTTTTCAGAAATCCTTTCTATTTAAATGGCGTTCAGTTTACACTGTCTCTTTTTCTGTCCTTACAGATGGTTGGAGCAATTATGCCTGCGATGAAAGCTTCCCTTCGTTCTGTGTGAAGAATGCAGTTGTATGAAGGATGCACTTTAAATCTGCAACCCACACAGGACAGACAGAGTAATGGAATATTTCATTTCAAGTTCAAGTACAAATGTACCCAAATGTATTATTACCAAAATGATCTGCCTTATGCAACTTTTGCAAAGAAATTAAAGAGTCATATATCATTCCAGAGCTTCAAGGCTGTCATTTCTTACATTATATCATGTTGTTTTTACGTGTCAATATTTCTACACAATAAACAAAAGATTTGTATCTGTAGCCCACCCACCACCCATAGTCCCACCCATAGTCCCACCCATAGTCCCACCCATAGTCCCACCCATACTCTCACCCTCCCAGGAAACCTTATTTTTGCCACTGGGTTCAGTGTTAATTCTGCCACCTTGAATTAGTTTTGTAATGCAGTTTTAATTTTTATGTCTTCTAAGCATTTTTAAGCTGTTATCATCTTTGTTGTGTACAGTTACCATGGTTACCTGTGTTGCCTTCGATTTTTCAAACAAACACATTTTTGTTTTATACAAACTAAACAAAAAAAAGCAACTAGAAAAGGTGTTGTGGAATCAGGCACCCCCCCACATAATACAGGGTCCCACTGTGTAAAGCTTGGCCTGTTTGTGGCCCCTGAACTAGGAAAATTCAAGATCCACCCAAATCTTGTATCCTTGACTTGCCTTCTTAAACTTTGGCAGGTAGTACGGTTCAAGCTTAATTTAAATCCCAAGCCAGAGCCCAGGCAGTGTGACCAGCCAATCAGAGCAGAGATCCAGTAGAAATGTGTAGTGAAGAGATAATATGTGACTACATTACTACATATTTTGGTTGTTTGTTTGTTCAGAGTTTTGTCCTTCACTGCAGGGCACAGTGTGTGTCCTTACTCCTTTTGTTTTTATCTGCTGAGTCACCGCTCTTGATTGTTAGATAACCTCTCACACTGATCCAGGATCTGCTACACAACTTGTACACCGATAAGAGCTGCTCCTGTATCTGATCTGACCAGCGAACACGTGAAAAATCTGCTGAGGCAAGAAGGCCCGATCAATATTTAGCACCAGTATATAAAAGAGTTTAACTTGGTTGCATTATATGTCTAATAGATGGCTTCACATAAAGACGTGCAATCTCTTCCTACTGAAAGAACACAGTGAAATAAAATCTGAGTCATATAATCTCAGTCACAGAGTTCTGTGTTCCAGTCTGAAACACACACACAGAGGCATGTGTTCAATGTGTCATATAACCTTGGTTTATTTTCTTAATAACATATTCAAATTAGATAATATTTGTGGGAAAAACATGCAATAGATTTTTTACGACTCTCAGTGGAGAAACTAAGAGTACAATTTGCTGTAACAACTTACTAATTATTTGTATTTTACAGGGAGTTGTATAATCTTTTTCTTAATTCTTTAACATTTAAAAGATATATGTGATTGACTTTGAATTACTTTTGTTGCCATGGAGACTATGAGGTAGGGTTTAATCGAAGTAAAATGGAGCCAATAGGGATAAATAAAGTATCTATAATGGTTTGATACTGTTTGTGTTATGGGGTTTAGTAATTGTTTGGTTCATTTTATGACCCATTTTCATATGCATCTTTTTTTTATATATTTTTTTTATTTTTTCTTCTTATTTTTTTTTTTACAAATGCTGTTTGCATGATTTACCAGGAAGGAAATAGTGTGTAGTAATACCATCTGACCAGCTGGGGGCACTACACAGCCACTGCAGTTACATCTTGGAGGCTACAGCACAAGGGAAGGAGTATTGAACAACAGTTGCCAATATTAAATACAAACTACATTTGAAATAGTCATTTTACTTTGAAATAAAAGAGGAAGATGTCCTCCTCCCTGTCTCCTGCTGCCTTCTCTAGCAATTATTTCTCCATTCTTTCCCCACTTCCAGACGTTCCCATTCTTTCTCTGTTCCTGTCTTTCCTCAGCCTTTCTCGGGTAGAGAAGTACATCTGCTTCCCTCATATCTCTAGCAGTAAGGACAGGTGGCTATGAACGTCCCGCCTGTTGCTTAGTCCTCAGCATCATACCATGTCCAAGTGCATGAGCTAGTCTGCACGACCTTTAATTGCAGTACAGTACAGACTTACATATCTGCAACTAGTTGGTTACCTTCATTCATTTGGTATAGATTTTAGATTTTTTTTCTCCTGCAGGAAAACTTTACTTCATACACACTTTGCTTTGAGTTTGAAGTGCTTAACCAAGAACAGAGAACATAAACCGTGGTTTAACATACTTTGAACAGTTCATGGCAGCATTACATGTGCACAGTCCTGTATGTTGTACCAGTTGTTAACACGGGGTCGTGGGGCCTTCTTGATTTTAAGGCAAATTATTGATGTTAACTAATTAATGTTCTAATAGAACAATAACCAAGTGTCAGGGACAAGAAAACAAGTAATAAATAAATACATAATATCAACATTGAAAAGATGTGATTTGGATCACAGTTTCAGTTTCAATGTGGAGAACATTTTTATTTCAAATTGAATGTTCATCACAATGTACACAAGGTGGCTGACAACAATATCTATTTTATTTTTCTTAATTTGTTAGATTTTACATATAGTAGTTTTCAGTTGTATCAAATTGATAGTTTTCAAGTCCATGCAGCGACGGGGGACATTGCTTATGGTCATCGGCCATTTACTACACTGCACTGTATACATTACCTAATCATGTATACAGCCTGTTAGCTTAGCTTAACAAAAAGCCTGGAAACAGCTAGCCTGGCTCTGTCCAAAAAGGTTACAAAATCCCAACTAGCATCTCTTAAGATCACTGAATAACATGTTTTATCTTGTTTGTTCCATTTGTTCAAAACCTCAGTGTAAAAATGACAGCTTGTGGTTTCACAGGCCAGAAAGGCCTCACGGTGTTAATGCTAAGCTAAGCTAACTAGCTGCTGTTTGTAGCTTTAGCATACAGCCATTAGAGACGTATTGACCTGCTCATACAACTCTTGGCAAGTTTCCCAAAATGTAGCTTAGCTTAGCTTAGGTTAACCTACTGCACCTATCAACAATAATGTAATCTAGCTAATTTAAGAAAATGGCTGGTCACTCCATCTTCTGCTTCAGTTTATGTGGAAAAGAAACATTAAACTGAATTACTAACTGCAAAGTTTACTGGCAACACTTTATAATAAGGGTCCAGATACTTAAGTAACACTAAACTAATGCATGTATCTGAATTCCACTTGCACTAACAATGAACTCACTAGGGGTTTTGTGATTAGTTCACATGTAACAGATAATCAGTTAATGATATGTGACCAAATGAGCAGGATTCCAGTTAATCTCTGATAAAAAACATAGCTATATATTTCTATGAGAATAAACACAAAGGTATTTTTGACACATTTACAACATGATGGACAAATGACAACAACAACAACAACAACACCATTCATCATACTCAAAGACCTTGTCAAATATGTTGAGAAGGTAATTGAAACAACACAACAAATATGCAACACACAACAAATAATCATACATTAAAAGCAGTTCTGAAGAGGTGGATGTGGAGGGTTGATGGAGAATGCTCTGTCGCCCCAGGTCTGAGGCTTTTGTCTTGAGTGGTGGAGACAGGAGGTTGGCATCAGAAGAATGTTCAGACACGTTTAATCTCCACTGCTTTAAACATCACAAACACAATAAAAAAGACAAAAACGTATATTCCATCCACTATGTTGTAAATTTGTCAAAAACACCGTTGGGTTTATTCTCATATTCAAATATGAAGCTATTTTTCAGGCTGGGAAAATGCAAATTCCTCCATCTAATTGGTCGCATATCATTTTATATATAGAGAAACTGTGAATTCCACCTCTTAACTGATGATTTATGAAGTGTGAACTAATCGCAAAAAGTCATGGTGACTTGATCAGTTGTTAGTGTTGAGCAACATTAACATTAATTCATGCATTAAACCATCATGATTCATGAGTCACGCATTAGTTTAGTATTACTTAAGTATTTCTACCCTTATTACACTGTTATTAAGTATTGGTGATATAATTCCGGGTTCATTACATTGAGTTGACTTTATGTCAAATTTAGTAATTATTATTCCTGCATCAAAATACTTGTAAATTATTTGATGTTAGTCACATAAAGTAGGCTGTAGTTGACATCTTCATTACTGCAGTAACACTTAGTTGATCCACAGAAAATGAATTGGCTACTATTCTGGTAATAATTAATTATAAATAGTTTTTACCTTACATCAGCCGTTTTGACAGGTAATGTAATAATTTGCTTTAGTGGAACTAAATGAACTGAGTAAATTCAACTTAAGTGGTAACATTTGTATAAATAAGGTGCATTTAATTTAGTCTTTCTTCATTCAGATGCATTAAATTAAATCAAATAATAATGAAATAAGTTAAATAAGTTTGGAGGAACGCTGCATATGACATGCTATGATATGCTAAAATAAAAGTTAAATTAACTGAATGGGATTGGTAAAATTAATTTATTTAACCCAAGTTACTTTAAGTCCAAGTTTTTAATGCTTAAATTGTTTGTGTTAATAAACAAATAATTTAGGGCAATCGGTTTCCTCAAACAGTTTAAATTGAAGTACGTGTATAAAGTTTGCCTACAGTAACTGTCTGACTGATTAACTGACTGACTGACTCTGACTCTCTGGAAAAACTTGAACAAGATTAACCCGGTCTTAAGGTGGACTACCATTGGAGCAGGTGACATAGCTCATCTCAGTCCACCTTAATATCCATGTGCCTGCAGCACCTGAGCCTTACAGTCTATTCTTGATCACAGCAGCATCTATTTTCAGCTCTGGCCTTAATCTCAGGGTCTATGTCAGGCTGTGTTGACAAAGAAATGAGCCTCAAATAGCACATTAGCATGCAAGCTTAGTGTACACCATTTTATAGTTAGCTGTGTGTCCCGGAGGTCAGCTCTCAGTGGAGCTGTGTCTGAGCCGCTAACAGCAGACTGCAGACACAGAGACCAGTGTTAATGCAAATTTATGCCATTTATTTTCATTAAAACCTAACTGTATCCAGATAAAAGTCACATTTTAATGATGATGAATTGCAATATTTAATATATTACTATTATTGCATTAATGACTGAAGTACATTTCTACATTATGTTTTACCATATAGTGAAGTG